ATCACCCTTTTGGTTTTCTGAATAAACAAGCCCTCATTAAAAGAAGGGAGTGGTCTGGGTTGTGCCATAGCTAAAATTGGCAGTGATTATGGGAACATTGGGTAAATGGAGAAAGACTATGAGACCTGGTTAGGAACCCAGGATCTACAGCAATAAACTGGTTCTGTACTTGGCCATTTTAAAGCATAAAACAGAACAGGTAAAAGGAAATCTCCAGATCCAGCACTGTACAAATACACAATAGCAATATCAATGTTGATACCATTCTGATAGCAAATTATGCTTTTCAGGTTTCATGTAAGAAATTAATTTTGTTTTAGTAAGGGCTGTAATAAGTATTTATCTTACATCTTCTCTTGCTGAAAAGGAGCAGATTGGTTGAAACACTTCTGGGATACTGTTATTGTGTATTTCTATTGCTTTGGATTTGGAAATTAATAATGTAACTATGCAAAGCCTATCTATGTGATGGATTGAGGATCATTTTTCAATTGCTAATCAATTGCTTAAATTTAATTGAGACATTAGCATTTATATTAATCTCTTGTCATATTTTTCTATAGACATAACTTTTCCCCTATTGTTTTTTTTTTAAATGACCAAGCTGGATAGAAGCCACTGGAGGGAGAGGGACAGGAGGCAAGGGGTGAAGATGGTGCTGCTGGAGCAGAGAATCATTTTCACTTGAATGCATCAAGGGTATATACATGAGAGAGACTCCTCCTCTTGACCTTGGATTAAAGGTTCAAGGTGGCTGTCTCCCAAACTGGAGGCAAGAGGCCTTCTCCTCAACACAGGAACTAAGCCTTCTACTCTGATGTTGTGTAGGGAAGTGCAAAACTCTTTGGGATCAAGGGAACTTCCTTGGCAACGGTCTCCTGGGGTGTGAAGTGAGCACTGCCACTGCATGTTTCCTCCTGCAGGAGGGGTTCTGGAGGCTCTGGAGCAGTAAGCGGGCTGGATTTGGCATCAGTGGGGCTGCAGGCTGTGGACGTGCTTTCAGTGGAGGTGTACCGCACAGGACAGGGTTTTGACATCCCTCTTAGATGTATGTCTAAGGAGGTCCTCCTCCTCTTTTTCAGTTTGGCATACTTGGCTGCAAAAGAGGAATTCTCCCCGCTGGACAGAGGATGGGAAAAGTGAAAAAGAAAGCTTTTTTTTTTTTTTTTTTTTAAAGAGAGGCTGAGAAAGACACCAGTAAGAAATGATCAGGCCTGAAAAAGAGCAATTTACCATTTTTTAAAAATAAGATGAAAAGAGCTGTGAGAGCAGTGACTGTCCTGGGTAAAGACAGGCAACATGGAAAGCCCTGGACTTCCTTCACAGTTCACAAATTATGAGATCCTTGCCTTCCTGGGCAGGGAGAGAAGATAAACTAGTCCTTGGATGCCTTCACCAACCTGGCAATGATTTGTGGTTCCCACCAGTGGTAGCCACATTCCACCAATTCTACCTGATGAAAAGCCTGCAGTCCTGCATCCAATGAGGTCCTTGTGGCCATGATTCATGCCTCTTTTCCCACAAAACCAGTGAAGACAAGTCACCCAGAACACATGATGCAAGTGTTCTGGTTCCCTGTAAACTGGGCACAATTCAAGGTGCTGGCTATAAATGATAACGCCCTGAACAATTTAGAGACAACAAGCACCTGCCTTGCATTCCTTTATAATCCCTGAGAGGCCCCCTTAATAATATAATCTGTGCAACATGTTCAGCCAGCACTAAACTGGTCACAAAAAGGCCCATCTTCTGTGAAAATTATGGAACTCCTTCTCACAGCAGACTTGTCAGTGGACACACCTGAAGAAGCACCATAAAGCCAGTGTAAAGTCAGGAGGACTCACGGTGGAGTCATTTTTCCTGAAGGTGGATGGTGACCTAAGTGATGCTTACTACTTCAACATTTGAATGTAAAATGTTCACTCAGATTCTGTAGGCCTGAGCAGAAGAGTGTTTCACAGCTTCCATTCTAGCTATATGCATATGTCTTATGTGGAATTAATTTGGATGCTGCATTTTCTGGATCCATGCTGAACCAACCATTGGAGTTTTCTAAATCTGTCACTACAAAAGACTAACCAGTCGAAATGTGTTTGACAAACAGTAATATTAACTTTAACAGATTGTCCTTGTTACATGAGCCCATAAAGACTGTAATAGGACTATGATGTGTCTTCTCTTATTTAATACATTTTCTGTACTACTGTGAATCTTTTGTTCACTAAAGGAGAAATCCTATGCATGTATGCATACCCCAGACACCCAAGGCCACTGTCAGATTTTTTTTTCTGGGGAGTGCTGGCAGCTGTAGGCCTCTTTTTCTATCTGACTCATATCTTCTGCTATGAATTTTTAGGTATATATAAGAAAGCATTTTACTGATACAGCACTGATATTTTTGTATAAAATTTGCAGTTCTTTCTTACTATCTCAGTTTTCTCGGGTTTCAATTGGTTGTTATTTTTCTAGCTTGAACCTCGAGCACTAAAAGGCCTATTTGCTAGGCAGAATTTCAGGGCTAAGCTGGAAAAGGGTGGCGAACTTTTAAACAGTAATAACGTTATTCTTTCCCACCCCTCCTTAAAGTATGTGGATAGGGCTATTCACAAATGAATGAGTGAATGAATTACTATAAAATATTAATTTAGAAAAAAGGCAAAGGCTACTTTGGCTCATTGTCTCTACCCCATTTCAGTCAACGTGACTAAACACCCACAAAAAGGCATAAGTAGCATGAGGGAGGCCCAAGTACATTTCTCAGTGTCAAAAATGAAAATTGTTTGGAGGTACAGAACTGGAAAACCTGCCCCAGCAGTCAACTGTGTAACTGCGCATTAGCTGGTAGGAAAGCCGATAGAAAAGATTCTGGAAATTTGGAAGGAACGCTGAGAGACAAGATTCTGGTGGTCACATGCACATAAGCATGTGGATGGGGCTCTGGGAAAGTCATCAAGCTGCTCCTCCAAAGTGAAAGGTATCATTTGTCTTCCTCCAAGGCAGCAAGCTTGCTCAATCCAAGAGTAGACCACTTTTCAGCCCTGAAGGCCACATCATAAATATACCATGAACGGGAAAACTACAGCTAATTTGTTTACTTCAGTTGCGTGTAATTAACAATTTGCACATCCATTTGATCAAACCGGAAGATACTGAGCTACAGTTAATGCACAAGCTACACCTATTCTCACTTATCCTATGCACCCTTCTTGTTCTGAATTTGCCATCTTCGGCTTTGATCAAGCCCTTTAAAGTTGCTGACAGAAATCATGGGAACTGTAATACAGTACATTTCATGGGTTTAAAAATAAATAAAAATGGGTAGCCTGTTTTCGAATGTATTGCTGCTGCTATGAAAGCAACTCCTTTAAAAAAGATATAAACTAGGATTCTCGGAACCTTAATGAAATCCCACAGGATACACAAATATCCCTCTGAAGATGCATGTGTATTACAGTGCTGCCGAGCTTCAAATGACAGATAATACTCAGTAAAACCCGAAGGGCGTGGCAAACCCAGGCTGAGTCTGAGTTCCATTGAGTTATAACAGAGTTGCTTTCTACACTTCTCTGTTTTTGTTGGGTTTGCAAAGAAAGAGCATCAGAGATCTTCTGCCATTTGCGAAGGAGAAATGCAGTTTTAATTTGAGAACCTTAATTCCAGAGCATTAGTGGCCCACGAACATCATGTGTTTGAGGTTATACCCCCAAATCACATGAAATGTAGGAAGTTCCTTGAGCCATCAATGCTCTGAAGCTCTTAATATTCTCTAATCAAATTGTAATTTAAGGTATAGTTTTAATTAGCGACTCTTGCGTAGTTCTAGAGCATCACTGGCAGTGGATCAAGGAGTGCCATTCTCTTCTTGCAGTTTAGACATATAAAATAAAAGCATGTGGAGTTCCTTGAGCTACTGATATGTTGATTCTTTGATTAAAACTGCAGCCATCCTCTTTAAAAAGGGGAAGATCTCTTTTTGGCAAAAACGAATAGTTAAATAGCTGCTCCTCCCTTCAAAATGGGTGGAAGTGGCAAAAAAAAGGAGGAAGGAGGATTCTGTTTGGTGTTCGTGAGGTGTAAACAGTTCAGAGTAGCACCCAAGAATAGTATTGCCAAGGGCTCTAGCATCTCAGAAATGGTCCATTCAGACAGCAACAGGTTGATTCTTTACAGACTCCAACACACTGCCTTCGCCTACTTCCTTTTCAGTCCTCATAATATTTCAAGCCACTGGAGAACAGCCCCTGGCCCCATAGCAGTCACCTCAAGAGGAACAGGCAAAAAAGGAATGGGTTGGGGGAGAGAAAAAGGACATGGCTTGAGACAAGGGTCAGCAGAGGATCAGCTGACATCCGTTTGTCATGGCCTTGGGAGGCTGGGACTACAGCTGTGCCAGGCTGTAATTTTACCCACAATCTAAGCAAACAAATAATAAATAATGCAAACCAGTAAACAAAGCCAAGACATAATCATAGGCTTTGTCAGGACTAAAACTAGTTCCAAATTTATATCCTGGCCAAAGATATAAAGGAGAGGAACAAGAAAGGAGGCTTCCATAAATTTACATAACTTTTTAGCATGATGAATGAGTCACTGTGGAAACCCTGGAAAATACATCATTGGCAGAAAGGGTGGAAACAACACAGTTTCGGCAGCTGGTGTCCTTCCTACAGGTGCCTGGGCAGTGCTGTCTCTAGATTTCAAAGTCCTTGAGTATAGGCTTAAGTAGTTTCTAACTTAATTTACAGGGAGCATCATACTCCACTGCCCCTCCACACTGCAACTCTCCTCCACAAAAGGACAAACATATGCCAACACCCCATCTCCTGAATTTTAAAAACAAGCTCAAGAAATATTCAAGTTGACAGCCATAACCTTTTTTGAAAACCTGTGCTTTTATTGTGTAAGGGGGATGCGACCACTTCACATAGATTTGAGTGCAACGGCATTTAAAAGGATTCTGGCAAGCCTTTTGGAGCAAGGCACAAGAACATGGCACATACCTGCAAGCTTGATAGAATCCTGGTCCAATACTTCCTTGATTTCTCCTGGCAGTTTACCTGGTTCTACAGCTTCTATTTTTGTCCGGGTGTCTTGAGTTGCAGATAAGGTGGTGTACGTGCTAATGATCAATACTCCCAAGCCAATCCATAGTATGATCTGTGCAAGAAAAATGTCAGATCCTTTAAAGCCAAGTACAAAGAAAGACAGTGTGTGTGTGGAGGGGGGGAGCAGGAGGAGGGAGAGAAGGTCATTTAATGTGAAGCCAAAGAACTGGCTTGCTCTGTCAAGCCAATATGCCAACTTCAGCCATCTCAGCTCTGCAGTGCCTGACTGTACATGTGCCCCCTTTTCTTTCTGCACTCGGTCCTCCCTCTGAACTCCTAAACTCCCTTTCATACCATTCCTTCTGTACCCAGCTGCTCTCTCAGGCTTTCTTTTCCTTTCCAGTTCATCTACCTGCTCCTTCCCTATATCCTCCTGCCTGCCCCACCCCTCTCTGTGACCTAAGAAACTCAGCCAAAGGCGGCTGGAGCCTCTTTGCCCTGCCCCGCAGTGCTTCTTGTGACATGAGGGCAACTCAACCAACCAAAGATGGCATCATCAGAAACAGAATCCCACAGTACAGTACAGTACAGATTATTTCTCATTTAAATGGTGCTTTGCACTGAACTCACTGACAGTTCATTACAACAAAAACTAAGCATGCAAGTACTTTGGTATCAAAGGAGTTTAAGTGTGTTTCAAGCACATAGATGCCAAAGGAATTCCATCTGCTTACATTTTTCTGGATTGAACACTCTAATCTAGAGATGGGGACTCTCAAACCTGTGCAAGAAGGGGTAGGGGGAGATACAGTCCATGGAGGGGGGCAGCTAACACACCATAAAATATACATAGGAAGTTCCTAGCCTTGGGGAAGGTACAGTCCATTTGGGGAAATAACTTGTGCATATGTAGAGATTCACAGAAACTTTCTTCCTGACTTTAACAAAATCATCTGTATAATATGCCTTCCCCTTCCTAAAGTACATCCAGTTTGCATGCTGTAATGTTCTGTAGCCCCAAATGGAAAAAAAAATAAGGTTGATATTTGAGATCTGGGAAAGGGGGAGCAGGGAAGAAAACAAATACTGGGCACCAGTGTGGCCCCCTAGGCCTCAGACTGTATTGCAATGCAACAAAGCAAGCAAGAATGGCATCTAGCATTTGACATGTGTGATCTCATCAACTATTCTTGGCAGCTGAGATGTGCATGGAGGGGCTGCACCTAGCCAACTTGAAACAAGTCTGACATCAAATATACAAGTCTGAATCTGAAAGTCTCAGATTCTGCTTTAAAACAGAAAGTTTCCAATTATCATGGTCTGTTGAGGGACTTGAAAACAAGGGAACAACATGTGCTCACTACTCAGAAACCAAAAGGAATGAACTGCAGTTTCCAAATTGTCAGAAGGAGGACTTTTCCACGCCTCCCTGTTTCTTCAGTATGCTTCCTTGCCCAATCAATTGACTCTCCAACACCCTGCTCATTTCTTCTTTGCTTCTGTATTGATCCCCATCCTATGATTTTGCAAGTAGAATCAGGAGAATTATGTAAATCAATGTAATAGTACTTGAGTTTGCATGATTGTTCACAGCATTTGGTAGAAGAATTGGAAGGCTTTTTGGGAGGAGGGCATTTGAGAGTGAAACAATGAGATTTCCTGGTCACCACCTCAAAGCTTCATTGCTTGCATACAGACCTCACACACCACTTTAATATAAGACATCCCTGCAAGTTTCAGTAATTTATGGGATACTGGATAGGGGTGATCAGCTGAGCAGTTACACAATAATAACTGATAAACAATATGGACATCAGTAGGGCTTGCCTTGCTTGAGCTGCCAAGATCCAAATGAAAAAAGATACTGGTGGGGGCGGGGGGGAGGGAGGGAGGGGAGAGCGGGTGGGTTGTTGGCTGACAGTGAAGGAGATTTAATTAAACTCTGATGTATTATTTTTACCTAGTTAATCACTGTAATTGTCACTGCAAGGGCTTTACATAGAACCTGGTCTGCATGTCAACGACGCCACTATTATAGGCACTGGGAGAACAGAGGGAGCGTGTTAAAAAAATGCCAGTAATGCTGGCCAGAAGGTGGCAAAGCAGCCAGTAGGGATGCAGCAAAGGGGTCATTAGGACATAATGGCGCTTTGCTATTTGTCCTCCCCACCTCAAAGAGATATGACAGAGCAAGCAAAGGAGTGGTATGTCAGCACAGGCTTCTCTGGAAAAAGACGTCCCTTGAAGGGGTGCAGGGAGCAGGCACCAATCCTCAGCACAGAGAAATAGCAACCATCGAGCCGTTCCTGTCATTGTCATTTGAAGACGGACCTTCTCAAGTGGATTCCCCCGGAAAACCACGCCTCTCACTTACTCAGGAAAGGCCCCCATGAAACCCCCGCTCTTCTTCCAGGATTGCAGACCTTTATTCACGCCCCAGCAAGCCTCTTTTGGGGCAGCCAGTTCTTGAGATAGGCAAGTCCACCTTCCTGGCCACTAGGTCTACACCTGAAGCTATACAGGCAATGACAGTCCATGTGCAGACGGAAGACTGAAGGAGCCACTTTCTCTAAGCTTGCCAAGCATCAAGCTAGCCAATACGCCGGAAGTGCAGGGCATGGGCAACACGGGCTTTGATATTTTCTGCTTTACAGCCCACAGGTTCTCAGTACAGCCTGAAGCCACACTGACCCATAATCACAGTCAAGCATTTCCTGTGCTCTTTCCTCAAGGAAACACTGTGGATTAATGGCAGAGCTAGCAGGTATAATGGAGAGAAAATGGGGTAGGCTGCAGAGTGTGTGGGGGGTAGCGGGGAAGAGGGCAAGCGGCAAAGTTCTTCACAGAGGCCGGGCCAACACAAAGCCAGATGGCAATCAGTTATAGACATTTCACAGAATTAGCTTCCACAAGCGGTTTCTCACAGATTTTATTGGGGAAGAGATCTGGAGGACATCAAATGAATTGTTCTGCAATTTAGAATTTGTAGGAACAGGTGGTACATCCACAGAGAAAGGGAAAGACACTTAGAGATAGTGATTGGCAAGGTTCGCTCATGAAAAACAACACCAAGAACCAGAGCGAATGGAGAGATCAAGGGCTTGAACTGCTACCAAAGAAATGATCGGATGACGTGGTGGACGGGGAAGGAGACCAAAAGAAGACATAGATGAATTGAAAAATGGGAGCAGGTATTCAGCCATTCTGAAAAACCGAAAGATCAAGACAACCAAACATCCACATATGTTAGAAGAGTTGGCAGCTCTTGGTAAGAATCTTTACAGGGCTGACACAAGAAACTTGAATCCCTGGGCAAGGGTCATGGAAGAAAAGGCAGGAAAATGGTGAGCCATTCCCACCAAGAATGTGAGTCTGTGAGTGGGAGTGCAGGAACAGTCAATATCCTGCCGGGCTCCAAACATTTGGAATTTGTGCCCTCAGCATTGACCTTGTCCACTTCCTGCTTGTCTGAGGATTGCAGGCCTCAGCACTGGGTACGAATAAAAATAGAATTTGTGCCATCCGTTGAATGAAAAAAACATGCACAGAAAGAGAATTTCTGCTAATGGTTCCTGAGGGGAAGGAAGGGAAGTTACCCACACTCTTATTTTGAGACCTTGAAAAAAATATTCCCTGTCCCAGGATAAAGAAGACAGTCCTGATTTTGAATCTTCACTGTCATGTTTCTTGCTTTTTCTTTCATCCAATCTTGAGCTCTGTTCCTGTACGAGGCACAAATACCCCATCAGAAAATAGATTAGGTATTAATTCAATTCTTCAGTCTAATTCATCTGCATTGCATTAATCCTAATGATAATTAAAATCAGTTTTCCAGAAGCCCACTACCACAGCTATTTGAGCAGATATTTACTGAAGTTTCTTTTGAACAAAGAAATGATGCTATACTTTGGAAAATTATCTTAAGCACACTGCCCTTTCAAAAGAGGTACACATCCCTGCTTAAAACAAACCCATCAGTTCTCAGCTGGTTTGTATGTCTTTCAAAGAGCAAGTGTTGGGCTGGAAGAGATCTAGAGTTACTTGTGTGCAAAACACACCCTTGCACTGAAGCCTGTGTAGTGTAACAGACCTAAGATGAGAGATCCTGGTTCATCTCTCATCACTCATGCATTTCACCACGAACAGCTTGGTAGCAGTTTAACCTAACCCACAGGTTGTTGTAAAGGTCAGGGCAGTGGAATTATGAATGCTGCTCTTAGCTCCTTAAAAGAGCAGAAGCCCCCCTCCCTTTTAATACAAGTATAAAGAGCATCGCAAGCTGCCTTAGACCAAGTCAGACCAATAATCCATCTAGCTCACCACTGTCATCGACGACTGGCATTGTAGCTTTCCATTGTTTCAGGCCAGGGTCTTTTCCAGCACTGCCAGGGATTGACTATGGGGGCCTTTTGCATGCAAAGCATGTCCCCTGCCACTGGGCAACAGCCTTTCCAAAATGCAGGAAGCTGCCTTCCACCAAGTCGGAATATTGATCTATATCAAGCCTGTTAATTGTCTAGGAATGGTACAGCACTCTCTGAAGCCTTACACCAAAGGTGTTTTGCATCATCTGTCACATTATCCTGATAAAAGAAAATGCCTGGATTGAACCTGGAAACTTCTATAAGCAAAAGCATGTGCTCTACCAGTGAGTCCCAGCTCCTTCCCATTCAAACAAACAAACAAACTTAAAAATAGATGCGAATTAGGGCATTTGACTGTTTCGTTTTCAGCATGCAATTATGTCAGGAGTTGATGCTAGGCATGGGAATGGGGATGTTGCTAGTATGGGTGTGCTGGCTTCTGAGTTAATAAGATTAATACACTGAAGAAGGCAAATAAAAATAATGAGAAAGCAGGGTACAAACACTCCTGGCAACATCTCAAGAAGGGACATCCATGCACATATGAAAGGAAGTTGGGAGCAGGAAGCTAGGACTTCAATTTCTGTATTTGCTGCTGCAATTCTCACTGCTGATAAGAGAAGCTATTATTATTATTAGTAGTAGTATAATTAGTAGTATTAGTATTATTATTATTATTAAAAAGTGACTTCTCTCTTTGGCAGTGAGAGCAGCTGTAACAAAGCAGCAAGCTGAACTGTTGTAATAT